GAAGGAAGGAAGGAAGGAAGGAAGGAAGGAAGGAAGGAAGGAAGGAAAAGAGAAGAACAGGTAAAAGAGAAGAACTGAAAGTTGAGCAGGCAGAAGTGTTAGGATGGATCTAGGAGAAGTTGTATCCATATGAATTTTGAAGTCTTGGAAGGAATTTATTATGATAAAATATATTCTGTTAAATTTTCAAAGATTTAATAGAAATACAATTTTTAAAACCCAGAATTATTTTTATCTGATTAAAAAACAAAAACAATGTGCTGGTATGAAACAAACCTTGTAAATAGTCTGACATTTGAGATGAGACATTATTAGTTAATGATTGCCATTAAAGATAGGAAGAACAAAGGCAAAGGCCATCTTCTTTGTACAAATTTAGATAGCTTGTGCTTTTCAATTAAAATCTTACAATGGGGTATAGTGATAATTTTCTGTATATGTTTTCATCTTAATTGATAAGAAGTAGAAAGTGTCAGGCAGATGATAGATTAATATAGATAATAGATGACAATATACATAAAAATTGATATAGGATAGCCACATGTGAGATATATATATATCTTGATTGATAGCAGATAGTTTGGTAATAGATAACATGATTGATGATAGATTACAAATAGATGATTGATAGATAATTTTGATGGATGATGACTGGTAGGTATACAGATGACAGACAGATAATAAATATTTAGATGATTGATGTCTCTGTTTATTTGTATAATTTGGATTATGGTAACGGCAATGCCAAACCCACTAAATATTTCAGGATTACAAAAAAACAAATCCCTATATTGTGTATCAATAGAGGTTAACTTTAGCATTTTGAAGGACAGAGGATTTGTGGCTGAAATTCTAGTTGGGAACATTGCCTAATAGTTCTTTATGTTTTTGCTTTTGTTTCTTAAGAAGGTAGAATTAAATTTGGAACATGTGTTACAAGGACAAAATACAACAGTATCTTCTTTATTAAGATGAAGTAGATCAAATCAGAGGATTGAAACAAGCAAGAATATGAAAACAAATAAACAAACACAAAATAAACAAAAACCCTCCAGGATTCTGATGTGTCTTAAGTAGTGGGTCAGGATACCTTTAAATTAGCATACTGGAAAAAATCAGGTAGGACAAAACAATGATAACTAAAGATTACATGCACTCTTTCAGAATACTTTTTTCTTTTAAAGTGTGTTGCAGAATTTGACTTTGTTAACACCTAATGAAATAAGTAAAGGACAGTGAAATTAAAAAAAATTTTACAGATGAGTCTTTAAGCAAAGAAAGAACACATCAATAGTATCATGTTTTCATATGTCGAGATTAAGCTTGAACATTATTGGGTACCAGTGAATTCTATCATCTTGTATCTTGGTGCATTCACAGTATCCTAATTATCTTAGGAATCTACAGTTTTGAGAAGCAGATCATTATTTCCTTTTCTTTTGGAGTGCCGATTATTGGAAACAGCTGCTAGATATTCAGAGTTAGGCAAGGGAAGCACTAGAAGATAGCTCTTTTCAAAAGAAAGAATCCTCAGTCTCCCTAAAGAAGACAAATAGATGGAATCCCAAAAAAGTTACTGCCTTTTTTTAAAAAAATACTTGGAATGAACTTCAAGAGTTAATTTTAAAACTCTCAAAGAAAAACCAAGGGGCATTTGTCTGTATGTGGACTATGATATTATCTATCAGCTAGGATATATTTTGCATCTCACTATCCATCCCAGGGTATGCTCAGTCCTCAAACTACAGCTCAGAGGAGAAATCACATTGTCCCTAGATACAATGTAGGTGAGACAGAGAATGTGCTAAGAATTCTAACACAGTCACCAGAGAATTACAATGTCAGAAAGAATTGGGCTTTATAGTAAGAAAGTGTGAGGAAGAGAATCCAAGTCACTAAGTCAGTTTCATAACAGAGAACATCCAGGCAAACATAGCTGCCACAAATACATTCAAAATCAAAAATCCAAAGTAAAGAAGAGTATATCATACTTCACTTATTCGTGGATCAAAACTAAAAATATATTATAATAAGAACTTAACATGAATATATAAACTCCTTAAAACCAATGTTGTCTAATAAACGTAATAAACTGGAATGCATTGTCATACAGAAACCATGATTTAAAAGAAAATATAAAGAAAAACACAAAACACTTGCTAGTTCATGTAAAGAGATTAATTTGTTACATACCTGAAAAGGGGAAAGAATGACCTCAGATATCTTCAACAAGTACTTCAAAGAATAATAATAATAATAATAATAATAAATAAACACAAGGGATTATGCAATGTCCTAAAGACAGTAAGGGGGTTATCCCAAAAGAAACTGACTGACATCCCCATCAACAATCATGGATGCCACCAGCAGAATATGTCTGAGTTCTTCACCTACTTTCAACAAGTCATCTCCCAGACTACTGCATCTACTCTGGATTATAAATCAAAATAGTGTGTTGTGATGGCTTTTCTCAGTTTTCGACTTGACTATATCTGGAATTCACTAAAACCCAAATGGCTGGACAAACTTGTGAGGTTTCTTTCTTCATTAAATCATTTGAGGTGTGAATAATCACTCCTAATACTGATCACTGAAGTGTGAAGATACACCTTTAATGTGCACCTTTTGAGGTTGTAAAATCGAGCTTAATCCTGGGCCACAATGTATACAAGCATGCTGTATAAAGAACATGGAAGATGAAAGATTTGCTCTTTTCTGCTAGCTCTCATCTTGATAATAAGGTTTTTCCTTCACTGGTATCAGAGCCTACTTCTTTTGGATGGCAGTGAACATTGAAGACCAGCTATACATCCAAAGTTGTAGACCAAATAACAACTGGATTATTGAACCTTCCATTGGTTGACAGCCATTGTTCTTGTAGCTGGACCACAGCCTCTAAGCCATTCTGTGTGTGTGTGTGTGTGTGTGTGTGCATGTGTGTGTGTATGTGTGTGTATGTGTGTGTTTGCATGTGTGTGTGTGTGCGTGTGTGTGTATGTGTGTGTATGTGTGTGCATGTGTGTATGTGCATGTGTGTGTGTATGTGCGTGTGTGTGTGTGTGTGTGTGTGTGTGTGTAATTTTTATTCATGTAGTTTGCTCATATTCACTCCTCCTCATTCAAATCCTCCCAGGTCTAAATCCCCATGCCTAACCATCCAAGTTTGAGTCCTCACTTTTTATAATCCATCAGCACATGTTATTAATTGCTGATATCAAATCACTGAACCATCTCTGCAGCTCAGTGTAACATTTCTTGTTTCATCTGGCATACAATAATTCTACACATTTAACCGCTATTTACCTCATTTCTACTCCCCCGTTACCCTTCTTACTTATGCTCTGCACTGTTTTAAATTATTGACCTCTTCTTTTGGTAATTGTCAGTCCTTCAGATTTTTAAGCCACTTAAAATAATTTTTAATTGCTGACTTTAATCTACTAACTAGAGTACTATATAGCCTTCTAAACTATATCATATTTTTTATTAAAATATTCCTACACTTTAAGTTTTAAAAGTCCTACACTGAGTAAGTTTTATTATTTTTTCCTTAAGATATTGATTTTTAAAGACAAATATATAGAAGCATATTGTACTTCTCAATGATTTGCTGTAATCAAGAAATATAAGAAAAAGAAATCCATTTCTCCTCATGTTGCTTTTGACAATGATGTTTGTATAGCAATATAAAACAAACTAGAATAATGCATTGGGATATAAGGGACTAGACAATATAGAAAGAATTGTCTATACTCTTTGTTTTCATCAAAGACCTTCTATCCTCCCTTCCTCCCTTCTTTCATTTCTTCTTCCCTTCCTAACTTTCTTCCTGATTTTCTCCTTTCTTCCTTCCCTTCCTCC